ATGTATGTGCATTGTGGTGTCATAGATATCGGCTGGTAATAAGAACTCAGAGAGGCGAGTTCGAATCCCAGTCGAGTTTTTTATATACACTTACTTACAAATACCCTGATGAAATGTATGGATCCATATCGGCTTTCCTGAGATATCGGTTAAATAACAGGAGAGACAAGATTCTTTACCACAGAAAGAAATGGCAACTTGCTGGGGGAAAATCATCTGTCTTGCCAGTCATGTATAGAAAGATACATATTCATCCAGGCATATATCAGGTGTGGCACTTAACTGACAGACACTGTAATAATAGAATAATAGAAAATCTACATTACGTTGTAACAAAAAATTGGACGTAAATTTACTGTGAATGAACAAGCGAATATTGCACTTTCTAGACATTATAGTTATAATTAGAGTTTCATTCTTTCAAACTTTCGTTCAGTTTTGTTGCGGTGAACAACCATTGAGTTTTGTGTGTTATTCATTCTTTAATGTTTCTTTTGTGTTCATATAAATTTTATTTAAAATTCTTGCGGTTTCTACAATACATTCTTTCTGGAAATCCTTGCGGGTGATAGAGTAAATTCCTCCTTCAAATTTTGGCCTGACGTTTAGTCTTATTTTGATTAAGTCCATTGCTGAGCATGTAATAAATAGTAGGAATTGTGTGTTTGATTTTCAAGGTTCTAAAGTCCTTCTCTATTAGATCACGTGAGCCTTCCTTTTGTAAACAGAGGGAATGCTTACTGGGTTTGAATGTTATTGGACTCTAGTTTTCTTGAAATTCATATTTTTTTCCTTCCATTCGTTATATTAATTTAAGTTACACGCTTATATATTTTATACCCCAGGAAATAAACTTGATAAGGCTGGGACGAAACCAGTTTTTCATTTTTTATCTTTTTAAAATGCCATATAATTTTTGCCTATTCCTAGCTATTGTTAAATAAATATTGTACCATATAAACTTAGTTAAATGTATATATATATATATATATATATATATATATATATATATATATATATATATATATATGTGTGTGTGTGTGTGTGTGAAAAATGTATGTATATAAATATTATTAGAAAGCGTTCAATATCAGATAGAGATAACATATTTGGTTGGATCCATGAGTTTGTGACCCTGGGTTTCACGCTTTTTGTGATCGTTTGTGACCTGGGTCTCACGCTTTTGCGATCGTCAGACAAGTTTGTCTGACGATCAAAAGCGTGAGATAGGGTCACAAAACTCACATCAATACTAACCAAATATATATATATATATATATATATATATAGTGCATTGGGTCAGCAGATAATTATATAGATCGTATATTGTTAAATGTAAGAAAAAAGAATGTCTATTATATGGCTCATGAAAAAACATATTAGACATTCGTTCTCTGCTATATTTAACAATATATGTTTTAATAATAATAATAATATATATATATATATATATATATATATATATATATATATATATATATATATACAAGTATATGATTGGTGTATACGGAATAAATTACAATAACCAACAATTACTGTTCTTAAAAAAAGTGTGCTCAATACAGAGTAGAGCGAATATAAATATTTATTTAAAAATTATAACATAAATAAGTTATAAACTCACTACAAAAATAGCCATTTTGTTTCAAAACCTCTGGTGTCATCAAGTGATGATGTTGAATTACAATCTACATTCAACATCATGACTTGATAAGACATCAGATGTGTTGAAACAAAATGGCTATTTTTTAGTGATTTTATAAATTATTTATGTTATAATTTTTAAATAAATATATATATATATATATATATATATATATATATATATATATATATATATATATATATATATATCCTATTATAAATCATTATTACTGTTAGAAAGGCAGATTAAACATTTAACATTTTAAATTCTTTAATATTTAACTGAAGTGTCTTTCCTTAATCAATTCGTTCATGAGGTGTAAAGCCACGAAGCTGCAAGGGATTTATTATTAAGTAGAGAGAACAATAAAGTTCAGGATTCAAGGCCACAGAAGATGTCGTTTGATAATACATTTAATTGATTTAATCTCAAATTTAGAAATCATGAAACCGGAATTTACTCCGTCAAAAATAGACTTTAGGAAACGTGAATGATGCTTGGCCTTCAGAAACCACAATTTTCGAATTTAGAGAAAGGTACGCTTTATATATATATATTATTCTTATTCATGCCCAGTACGCTCAGAAATATCAGCTGATTACTACCATTTTCTGAGATCAATGATTAACTATGGTTTCTGAGATCAATGATTAACTATGGTTTCCCTAAGTTTTAGTGGAGACAACCCTTCATTAGATTTTATAGACTGGCCCTACAGAATATCAAAGAGCGTTACTAAATAACAGGAACCACATCACTTGAAGAAATTCATCAGCATTAACAACTTATGTTTAGCTCTGTGACTAGAATGGAATATACGTAATCATGATGTTGACATTCCAAACTGTCTTTAAGAAAAGGAAATCCCATCAATACGAGAAAGAAACTAACATCTGTTTTAAAGAACTGTTTCAAGTGAGAGATTTTATAGATTTCTACCGATAATAAATCGATCAAAGAATAACGAATAAATCTGTGTAAAAACCGTTCATATTTCCCCTGTTCAACTGCTGGACAGGTCGAACTGTTGTCTTGAATAAGAATGATGTAGTCTTCCTGTTGGCCGACAAATGTACAGGGCAAGTGTAATGATTCCAGGATTAAAAGAAGTAAATATGTGTCGATGAATTCGTTGTGTATCTGTGAGTGTACGTGAAAAACTAATGTAAGAAAAAGTCTGTGTGCGTTTGAAAGAGACACAAATTCTGTGTATAAGAGAAAGAGAAACAGTGAGTGTATGTGAGAGAAATAGATAGAGACAGAGATAGAATGTATGCATCACAGAGAGTGAGTTCTGGCATCATTATAGACAGAATAAGAGTTTTTGTGTGCTGTGGGCGAAAAATTCAATAAAACCCCTTTTACCCACTAATTATACACATCTCATATCTTTAAAGCCTTAACGACCGTTAGAAACTTTAATGTTTCTTCGATAAATGTCTGGAAAGGCTTGCCCTAATTTGGCACCTCTAATATATGCTTCGTAAATCCGAACAATACACAGAGAATAGAGCAGAGTGTTGGATAATGGATATGCCATCTTAGTATTAACAACCCTTCGCACACATTATTCTTACAGGATTGTTTAGCTCTAGAATAGAGGGAACATTTGATCAAATAAAGTGTTCACACGATGTGCCCTAGGCTTGTAATTTTGTCAGGAAAAAAGAGGAGCCCGAAATCTTTGATATATATATTCTTATTTCTTTCGACTGATACACGCCGCCATTTTGTGCTTTTATACACTGCCGTAGTAGAAATAATACTGAAGTTAGATAAAAGTATTTTATGAATTTTTATCTGATTTTTATTCCTCTTTGTGACAAATTCTAGTATTATAATAAAATATCACAGACGGGAAATGAGAGAATTTATTCTTCTAGGTACCGTAGGACGTAGGCGATTATGGCTTTTTATAATATCCTGTCCTTTGTAGCTCTTAATAAATTTTGTCTTTGTGATAAAACTTGTTACGCCATACATTTACTAAAGCTCGCTAGATAGGTTATGCCTTGTTTTCATGCGTCTCTTCTACTTCAATCTGTCCCTGTGAGGACCAAATTTTCCTAACCCTCTTTCCTCATTAGAAATTTCCTTGTGCTCTTTCTGCTTAAATTTTGTCTAAAACACCTCTAGAACTTCTTCATTGCTTATATGTTCGGCCCATGGTATTCTCAACATCCTTCTTTAAAACCAAATTTTTGTTGCTTGAAGTCTCTTCTCCGTCTGTAAGGAAACTGTCAAACATTGACAGCCATACAGCAGGAATGATATAGCGTGACTATTCAGTACACTTTTCTTTGTTTCTAACAACGTTTTCTTGTTTCTTAATACCTTTCTTAGTTTCTGGAAGGCTTCTTTCTCTATTCTAATGATATATATATATATATATATATTATGCAGAAGTTATGCACTCTTTTTTGTTACAAATCAAATGTTACTGTTTCTGTTAACAACAATGCATTCATTTTTATTTCAATTGATGTTTAGTCCTTTCTTCTAGCTTTTCTTCACTACATTCTGTAGGAGTCCATGTAGTCTCCTTTCTGTGTCTTCTATGAACACTGTGTCATCTCCATATCGTATGCTATTTACATTGTGTCCACCAATAATGAATACAGCTAGAACTTCTAATTCTTTCGGGATCACATCACCGTATAGGTTGAATAAGAAGACATATCCTAATCTTGTACCCTTTTCTATTTTTGCATAATATGTATGTCTAAAATGTAACGTGACTTGGTGTCTTTCTTGAGCTATGGACGAAAGCAGGATAAGCGGATTGTGTTATCTTGTATGATATATTGCAAGTATATTACTGGATGGAATCCACCTTCTTAAAACGTTCTGAGAATCCAGGAGTTCCTGGCCTAGAACAACATCGCCGTACTGAAACAAACGCCCTATTCACTTGGTCTTACACTTTGTCACAGTTTTCTTTTCCCCAACCTCAAGAGAATCATCAAGTGGAGCCATTTTGAAGGCTTGGAGGCCAGCAAGATGTCTGTTGGGAATTCTAGAAGAAACCTTCCAGTTGTGCACAGAATTGTGGCAGAGAAAAACTGTAATATATATATACATATTTTACTTATTATTATTTCATGTTACTTATTTATTATTTATTTTCTTTTTGCGTAAATGTTGAATTATTTTGCATAACCACTATTATGCCGATACCCTAGCATCTATAATAATTGCATAACATCGTGACGTTCAAAAGAGGTATATTTTCGATAGTCTTTCCCCCATTTTCGTTTTTTATTACTGAAGAAATCTTCTGAGCTTTGACTTCCATTTGACCTTATTTTCTGTTTTTCTTTCTCTCTCTCCATAACTATTTGACTTTATGCAAAGCATGATTAATCACGACTTTCTCACCAATATTATTTTCTTTTTACTCCTCTTCCCGTTTCGTTTTTTTATTTTTAATTATTTCTAACGATCTAAAACATAAATTTAACTTTCTAATCGATAGATCAAAGGTCTTTTTTTTTACTCGTCAACATGTTTTAAACGTTTTATTATGATATTTATAAGCACTCTCGGTTTAATTCGCTGTAACGAGTCTTTTTAGTTTTTCTTTTTTTTCTTTTTTTCATGGCCGAATTTTTCTTATTATCTCTGTAAATAGTAATTATTAGCTGGTGATATGAAACTTGATGGGAAGTGCGTAAAAACGGAAAACATAATTACCTTCTAAGCATCCGATGAAAGGGTGCCCACTCAAAAATGAAAAAAAAAGGGAAAATTCCCCGTATACAACTTAAATAAAGTTCACACCATTGTGATTGGCTATTGGTCAACCTCCAATCAAATGCGTGATAGCGAGGTATATTTATAGAAGTCAGCGTCTACAAGCATTTTTAGAGGGTGTATCACTTAATCAGCTCTGATGGGGTCGACATGTAGAGGTCAGTATGATGTCTGAAAGACCCGAAACTGCCCAGTGATCCAAATCAGAACATCACTGACGACGCCATCTAGCGCTAAAGAGCGTATATTCAAAGTATATATATATATATATATATATATATATATATATATATATATATAAACACTGCGTGCCAAATTATTATCGAGATAACTTTTTTCTGATATTTCAAAAACCGTCCAATCAATTCACGCAAACTTTTCACATAACGTATAAAAATACTAACCCGCGCAATCACTGAATTTTTCGTACTGATCTGCGCAATGTAAACCACCTGGCACCATATTTGTTATCAGCACGGTGATTTGAGAGTGCCAAATTATTAGAAAGGTTTAATAAAATTCCCAGAATTGAGCAAACAAAACGTTTATTAATGTTGCACGTGAATGTTTATGATCAAAAGAACCTAATAAATGAGATAATCAAACAAATAATAACAGATACAAACAAAGGCACAGTTATAAACAAATTAATAGGGAATGTACTTTCGAAGTTTTGAAATTACTTGAAGAAGTCTACGATCCATAGAATTTGTTATTTGTAGGATGTCATCTGCTGTAATGCCGCGAGATATGTCAAGAATTGCTTCCCACAACTCAGCGTTGCTCCTGAATTGTCGTCCGTTGGCGTACAGTCTTCGCTTCATGATGCTCCAAAGGTTTTCGAATGGGTTCAAATCCGGAGAATTTGCTGACCACTTCATTTTTCGAGGTCCATCGAAGCCTAACTGTTTCAAATATTCAGTAGTCTTGTGAGCAGCATGTGAGGGAGCATTATCTTGCATAAAAACAATTGCCCTTCTGAAGGCAAGTCTTTGCCTTTTCATCCACGGTTCAAGATGCTCCTTCATAAACGCTATGTATGCACTGCAGTCATTTTGACGCCATCTGGTACTCTCCATGGGCCCACAAATGTTTTCCAATAATACCACCACAGATCATGATGCCTCCACCGCCTTGTTGGCGTCTCAAACGCTGATGGCGATTCTGTCCGTTCATAACCCAGCCTTTGCACCATCTATCTGGCCCATCAAGTGTTGCTCGAGTTTCGTCTGTGGACAAAACTTTAGAGAAGTCAATCTTCATATTGTCCTCGGCCCATTTCAATCGATTTTGAATGTGATTTCTCGTCAACGTAGGCTTCGATACAAGTTGGACTGTTGTTGCTATTTCCCTCAGAGTACTTTTAGACACAGTAGGATCCCCAATGCGACTGAAAAGCTCTTGACTGGTAAGTCCAGGGTTTTTCGTGGCCTCTCGTTTAAGTCGTGACATGAGACGACGTGAAATAACCTTCGGCTTGCCTTTATCTGCCCTTTTGCGTACTTGTGTAGGGTAAGCGGTGAACTTTTTTTTTTTGATGACACCTCCCTATCATTTTAGAAATTTCGAGGGTAGATTTACCTTTTGCGAGTTCTGAGGTGATAGTTTTCTTTTCAGCATCACTTAAACTGCTTTTACGATCCATCTTTTCACTAAATTCTTACACTTTTCTAATAATTTGGCACAGCCAAATTACCGTGCTGATAACAAATACGGCGCCAGTTTGTTTACATGGCGCAGATCAGTACGAAAACTTTAGTGATTGCGCAGGTCTGAGTTGCCAACATTGTGTGGAGATTTTGTGTGAATTGATTGGAGGGTTTTTGAAATATTAGAAAAAAGTTATCTTGTTAATAATTTGGCACGCAGTATATATATATATATATATATATATATATATATATATATATATATATATATATATATATATATATAAAATAAAAAGAAAGAACAGTAAGATATAAAATCCGGTGTTCTTATAGATATTTTATTTTTACAAAATAGTGCTCAATGTAAATTTACAGAGCATTAATATTATAAATTAATTGATTTAAAATATGGTTATTTTCGCTACACAGTTCCAACCATGTTTCAAAAAATAGAAGCTAAAAACCCCTAATTTTATTTTTTGCAAATAAATTAAAAGCATTAGTTCCATTTCATCTTCAAGCGAATTTTGAGTAACTTTTAAAATTTACCGGGTTTTAAATACACAGCTAAAATCACGTTTCCATGGTTACAGAATATTCTACTCAAATTGAACACGGGGTGTCTAGATTTTCCTTATGACAGTATCATTGTATCAGTTATTAGCTACATTTTGGTAAGGGGTGAGGATGTATTTTACACTGAAACCTGACGTCGGTTGAATGGATGTCGTCTGAATTTAAAAAAAAAAAAAAAAAAATTGTTAACGGTAAAAATTTTCAACGTCATCTTTTAAAATTAAAGATTTTTTTACAATACTTTTTATTTAACTACGATTTGAAATATTTTCCTTTTTAATTTTTATTTTACTATATTCTTTTTAAGAACAGTTAAATGTATTAGAATCCATTATATTATGTAGGATTATTTTAACATTAAGTTTAAGTATGTATATATATGAGGTTTTTTTTTTTTTTTTTTTTTGTATATGACTATGACAGCAGAAATGGTTACTTAATTTCACTGATTCAGTAAACTTTTCTTTTATATATAAACCTATTATTATAATATTTCACATGTAAGTACTGAGGACATGGGTCATTCAAAAGCTTACATGTTATGGTATTTCATATTAATTTTATTTTACTATAGGTGTTATTTTTGGATTCTTTTTAATGCGTGTAGTATTATTTAAAAGAAATTTAGGTTAGAATTCATTCAATTTAACTACAATTTTAATTACAAATTCAAAATTACAACTTTAAAATTTTAAAATATTTTCATTGTTTAGTCTTAATAGACTATATTACTTTATAACAGAAGGAAAATTACTCATATTAAGTAAGATTATTTTTCCATATCAAAGTATATGTAAATTTTTTTTTTTTTTTTTTTTTAAATTTAAATATTATTTAAGTAATATTAATGGCACTTACTACAAAACTAGCTAAGTCATTTCTCAGATTTAGTAAACTTTATTTATTTATTAATTAATTAATTTATTTATTTCAAATATATGTAACCTAATTAATAAAGTTTCATATGTATGTATAAATAACATGTTAGAATTCATTTTATTTTACTACAATTTTAATTTCAATTTTAAAATTATAACTTTAAAATTTTAAAATATTTTCATTGTTAGTTTTAATTTAGACTATATTATTTTTTATAACAGAAGGATAATTACTCATAGTAAGTAAAATTTTTTTTCATATCAAAGTATATGTAAATTACAATTTTAAACTTTTTTAATTTAGATATTATTTAAGTAATATTAATGGCCCAGACTACAAAACTATCTAAGTCATTTCTCAGAATTAGTAAACTTTATGTATTAATTCAAGTTTAAGTATGTATATGAGGTTACATTTTTTTTTTTTTTTTATATATATATATAAACCTAGTGATATAATGTTTCTCATGTAAGTACAAAGGACATGGGTCATTCAAAAGCTTACATCTTATGGCATTTCATATTAATTTTATTTTACTATATTTGCTTTTTTGGGATTCTTTTTTAGTGCGTGTAGTATTATTTAAAAGAAATTTAGGTTAGAATTCATTCAATTTAACTTTAATTTTAGTTTCAATTTTAAAATTACAAACTTTAAACTTTTGAAATATTTTCATTGTTAGTTATATTAGACTATATTACTTTATAACAGAAGGAATATTACTCATAGTAAGTAAAATTATTTTTCAATATCCAAGTATATGTAAATTACAATTTTTAAACCTTTATATTTTAAAATATTATTTTAGTAATATTAATGGAACTTACTACAAAATTAGCCAAGTCATTTCTCGGATTTAGTAAACTTTATTTATTTATTTATTTATTTTAAATATATGTAACCTAAGTAGTAAAGTTTCATATGTATGTACCAAGAACAGGTTAGAATTCATTTTATTTAACTACAATTTTAATTACAATTTTAAAATTACCACATTAAAATTTTAAAATATTTTCATTGTTAGTTTTAATTGACTATATTATTTTTATAACAGAAGGATAATTACTCATAGTAAGTATAATTATTTTCCATAACAAAGTATATGTAAATTACAATTTTTAAACTATTATATTTAAATATTTAAGTAATATAAATGGCACAGACTACAGAACTATCTAAGTCATTTCACAGATTTAGTAAACTTTATGTATTAATTAATTAAATTATTTATTTTAAATATATGTAACCTGAGTAATAAAGTTTCATATGTATGTACAAAGAACAATGGGTCATACATTACCTTACATCATCTAGCTTTAGTTATAATTTCATTTTTCAGGAGGTGTTTTATCAGATTCATTCAAGTGTTTGTAGTACATTTATTATAGAGGTGTTTCGGTTAGGATACATTTTATTTAACTACAATTTTTTAAACGGTGTTTATGTTTTAATACGTTTTAACCACAATTTTAAATTTTAAATAACAGTTTAAAACATTTTTCCTGCCATTCCAATTTTTTTTTTTTTTTTTTTTTTTTATATATTATTTAAGGAAA